AGGAAGTCAGGAGCAGATCAAGGGTGCTAGAGCTCCCCTTCACCACAAACATACTGAAAACAGATAGAACTTATCTTTATAAACAATTTGTTAATGGGGTAAGACTTAAGATAAAGCAGCTACAAAGGGGGAGGGGTCAAGGGTGTGGTATCACATTTGTTCATTAAAGAAATGTAATCATCGTTCCAAAGAATTCAAGCATGCCAACTTTTTAGCATAAAACTGGAAACTAAAAAGGAAAATAAAAAAAGGTAGAAAGCAAACGATAAGAAAAATCAATTTGAGATTTAGACAGGTTTTTGTTTTGCTTTTGCTTTTGCATTATGTGAGGAAGAGATGAACACTGAGGTTATTGCTAAAAACAAAACCCAAACAAACAAACCAGAAACTAATTACGTGAAAAACTTATCATGGTGTACACATAGATTTGTATATCTGCCAAACTGGGGAGCTAGCACAGTGTACTTGCATGGATAGGAGCTTTAGAATCAGACAATCCTAAATTTAGGCCTTGGTTCCAGCTCTTTAATTCCACCAACTTACTCAACCCTTAATTCTCAAAAAGATATCACCTACATTATTTGGTTGTAATAAGCATTAAATTTAAAGGGGAAAAGGAGGTAAAACTATTATCCCAATGCTCTGTGCATAGCCTGTATTTAACAAATAGTATTACCTTTGGAGTACTAAGAATAAGTTAATATAGATGCTTAGTTGTTTTTATTTATTCATAACAAAGAATAATGAAAAATTATTCTGAGTTTTTAAGGGAAGATTTCTATATCAGTCATACTAATAATGGTGAGAAAAATTTAAAGAAAGATGAGCAGGGAAATTTATGAGGATAGTTTTGTTATAAAAAAATGGCCTGATCTTAAAATCACAAAACATACATTTGAGAGGTGCTCTTCTCTTAACAGTTTATATGACCTTGAGGAAGTCACTTAACCTCATTTTTCATATTTTTTAGATGGAAATTAAATTAAATGCCATCTTGAATATGGCATAAGATTTTCAATATTAGGCGTAATAGTATACACATTACCATAAAAACATAATAGTGTACAAAATATTTAAAAACTATAAAATCCTATATAAATGTAAATGGTGCTGAGGTAATTGCTAATAGTTAAAATTTATTCATTATTAAAGTTTGTCATTAAAGTTGAAACATTATTCTCTCAAAAGAAAGTGGGATATTATTTGAGTTACCAAATTTGGATGAGAATAAGAGTAGTTACTAAATAGTGAAGTCAGAATTTATGAGAAGAAAAGAGATTGATATCAGCAACATATTTACAATACTTCTGGAGACATTTGCATGATGTTTGTTCCATGATGTTTGATCCTAATATTATTTTTATAATGCTTTTGGCTATATTTTAACTGGATTAGACTTTTGCATTTCATCGGACTTTCGTTTTGCCCCCATCAAACCAATACACACATTGGATAGCTCCTGATTTAAGTAAATTAGAATTATAACATTTGTATCTCTTTCTTTAAAACTTCCAAATTACAGAAAGAGAAATTAACAATATGCAAAAAGGTCAGAGAAAAGTAAGTAGAAATCATATTCTATCAAGACCCTCATAATATTATGACCCCTGGCTTTAGACAGTAATGGTTTTTATTAGTAATTATTTATATCAATAAGTTAAAATGTTATGTCTAAATGTTTCATCTATTAGAGATTTTTTAAATTAGCATTCTACCTATGTTAAATATGTAACTTCATATGGTGTGCAGTAATGTCACCAGACAAAAGGCAACAAGAAAGCCCCTTCACAGCAATGTCTGCTGTGCTGTTTGAAGGTCAATTGTCTTTTAAGCATGCAGAGAATCTTTATCATGTCATACTTCAGAAATATGTTTTCAGAGATGGGAAACAACAGGGTATGATTTAATGCTTTTGTTAAACCACTATAATTATTTCAAAGAAGTATGTATCACGACTATTTCTTTGTTAAAGACAAAATCAAGTCCTTAAAATTTCCTATTCTGCAGGTGGGAAGGAAATTAAGAATTACCTTTTTTTGTTGTTGTTGTTGTTAGTATAAGAAATTTGCATTGTAAAGCAAGCTGCTGTTGTCAGCTCTTTAATGGATAGAACAGACAGGAAGCTGCCTCCACCCTAAGAGGCTTAGAGACTGAGCAACTGAGTTAGACAGCAGGTGCCCAGGCCAATCAAGTCAATTTTCTAACACAGAATAGCATGTCGTGGAACTTGTTCTATTAGTCCTTTTTCTTTGTTAAAGAAGCAAGGATTTCTCTGTGTGGAAGCAGTGCTATTTCTAGTTTGAGGGAAAAAAATGGTAAGGAATTTGATAACAATTGACTGTTGTTAAGACAGCAAATTATCTTTTAAAAATAGATTATCCACACCTATAGGAAGAATCTGAAGAATGCACACAATTAATAAAAGCTGCCTCTGAATTACCCATACAAATGTGCACTCATGTCCAGTAAACAACTGATTATGTGCATCATATCTTTAATTTCCCAGAAATAGCAACTAAGAGTTCTTTTTAATTAACAATATAAAGTCTCTCTAAACATTTTATACTTGGAAACCTTAAGAATCTTACTCCTTTTGCTGCTGAAAAGTCACATTAGCCAAGAGGAGTAATGTATTTTCTCTTAAATTAACAAATGTCATGGTGGTTAAGGGTGTGGTGGGGGTGCAGAGAAAGAAGTTGGCAAGGAAAAGTTTAGGGCCTGTTGCAAAACCAACTGCAAGCCAAGTATGATTCCAGATAGACAAGAACCACCTGTTATAACAGAGAGAGATTTGAAAGATGAAATAAAGAGATGATCTTAAAGATTATTTTTACAATTACCATATAAGTAACTAAAGGTATATACAGATGTTTATGAGACATGTGTGAATACAATGTTTGCCACATGTTGTTCAATGTAAGATTATGTGTTTCTAGCCAAAACTCCTGGAAGTAGATGTTTTATGATTAGTAATAGTAATAACTACTCGGGCACTTACCTAGTGTTTTATTTAATCTTTGCAACGCCCTATCGTTTTAGAAGGTGCTTAGCAAATAAGAGAGCTGATACATACAGAGGTAAGTACAATGCTCAAGGTCACACTTTCGTAAAAGATAGAGCCAAGATTCACTTAGGTCTGTTGGGCTCCAAAACCCATGCTTTCAACAATTCTGCTCTAATGTACACTACATAAATATATGCCATGGTCTTCGGCAACTTTACTTTTTGAACTTGAAAAGCAAATCCAAGGAACCTCCTAGTTTAAAATTCATTAACAATTGCCAAAACTTTTGGTGATACATTAGTGTACCATTAGAAAAGACAAATTCATTTTCACAGAATGAAATGCTTAGGGGAAAATGAACGATTTTACTTAGATTGTGCAAAATCAGAAATCTGAGTCAACTTTGTCTCCAAATGGAATAAACAATGTTTCATTAGAATGCACTTTAAGCATTCATCTTAGCAACAATGTGTTACATAGAAAGAGGTCCCTTTTTAAACCTTTTCAAAGAAGAAATATTCCAATTTCACAAAATTAGCAAAACACTTTACTTCTAAAGAAATTACAGACACAAAACAGTGGGATACACAAAATAACTTCTGTTGACTTAAGAGTATTGTCATCACAATGCAGCGATCCCATGCATGAAAGATGTACCCCAAATATCTATTAACATTTCAATGTCGGTAACCTAAGAACTTAAAGACAGAGGGTAAATCTCAAAAACTACTATCCGACATAATGATTCATATAGGCTTTGTTTTTTATCTCATCTTCGAGTAAAAAAATATATATGATTAGGAAAAAAAGACTATCAAAAAAGCGAAGTAAAACTAGTTGGCGATAGAAAAGAAAAACTCCTGTCAAAGGACGGGCGTAGCTGTAGAGTCCCGAATGTCACGGAAAATCGAGAGTCCGTCTTTGGGAATGTCGTTCTTAATGGGTCGATTTCTTCGTTACTTAATTATACGGGTGGAACCCCCTCCCCCCGCCCCCCGCCACAATAGCGGCTCAGACGGGAGAAAAGTCAAGCATTTGAGGGTGCAAGCTTATTTCTTACAACCGAATTTAGCGAAAAGTCGCGTCACTGGTGAGCACTTCGTTGGGTCTGTGAAGATCCCTCTGGTTCCCAGCGCACGTGCCCAAAGTAAACAGAAGGTGGGCCACCGCGGAGAGAAGCGGGACTCGGTCAGTCTCCTAATTTGTCGTGTCTTTAAAACTACAGGCCCCTAATGCACTAAGGGCATGCCCTCAGCGAACAGGGGAGTGCTTCTGCTCGGCAAGATTAAAGTGACAGGGTAGAGAGGATGCCAAAGCTGGGGCGGGGCGGGGGAACCTGCCAGGGGATAGGGGTGCGGGCCTTTGCGGGAGGAGGTGGGTGCGCGCGGGGCGTGTGCGGGGATGCCTGCAACGAGGTGGGAGCAAGAGCTAGTGCGAGGGTGCGGGGCGGAGGTGGGTGCGCGCGGGGTGGCGGGGTGTGCAGATACCTAGAAGGAGGTGGCGGAGTGCAGTACCAACGAAAAGTTTCAAAGCTTAACCCGGGGTCTCACATCCTGGTGCCAGGCGGCCACGCCACCGCCCCCTGCGCGCCTGCACCACGC